CCGCCGCTGCTGTTGTTGTTGTTGTTGGTGGTGCTGGTGTTGCTGTTGTTGTTTTTGTTATTGCTGCTGTTGTTGTTGTTGTTGGTGGTGCTGGTGTTGCTGTTGTTGTTGTTGTTGTTGTTGTTGTTGTTGTTGTTGTTGTTGTTGTTGTTGTTGTTGTTGTACTTGTTTGAAATCTTTTATTCTCACGATGGCCAATACGAGAATTGTTGTTGTTGTTGGTGGAGGTGGTGGTGGTGTTGGTGTTGTTGTTGTTGTTGTTGTTGTTGTTGTTGTTGTTGTTGTTGTTGTTGTTGTTGTTGTTGTTGTTGTTGTTGTTGTTGTTGTTGTTGTTGTTGTTGTTGTTGTTGTTGTTGTTGTTGTTGTTGTTGTTGTTGTTGTTGTTGTTGTTGTTGCTGTTGCTGTTGTTGTTGGTGTCGTTATTGTCATTGTTGCTGCTGCTGCTGCTGCTGCTGCTGCTGCTGCTGCTGCTGTTGTTGTTGTTGGTGGTGGTGGTGGTGGTGGTGGTGGTGGGGGTGGTGGTGGTGGTGGTGGTGGTGATGGTGTTGTTGTTCTTGTTCTTGTTGGTGGTGTTTTTCTTGTTCTTGTTCTTGATCATTGTCAAGGCGGATGACTGGTAGCCCTCTCCCAAAGATGCCATACTTTTTCGCAACTTATGGCTTTTGCAAACGGGCCAAAAGTGCAAAGTTGCTGAAATCGCATCCATATTTTCAGAAAAAGCTCAAACGTTGCTAATATCGCAACCTAAAATTGGAGAGTTCTTGTGCAAAACCTACAAGAAAGGGAGCAGAAATAGCAGAAGTGCAGCGACAGCAAACTCATAGATCTTCACCCCTTCCTGCTGTGAACCCTACCACTTTACACAGTGCCAGTAGCCTGTTGCATGTATCCTCCATCTAGGTCTACTTCATTCCAGTGCAAGGAAAAGGGAGTGCCCATTATCATAACTACCGTTAATCTACTGCTTCTCGGAAATCAGTCTGAAGGCAGGCGAGAAATGAACGAGTATGAGTATGCATTTGTCCGACATGTAGTCATTGAGTCAGTGACTTAACCTTTTGACCCCATGCCATGGGGAAGGGATATCAGCGAACACACTGCGCAGAGGGTTTGCGCAGTTATGATGTAATCGAATTTTGTACATGTCAGCATGCCACGCGCGCGGCCAGAAAAGTCCAAGTCAGAAAATGAATATTTTTGCCGGGAAACTGGAAGGAGTCTTGATGGAGAAGAAGGAGAATGGCGGCTGAAGTCGGAACCTTGCGCTCAGGATCTGCCGTTTCGTTGATTGCTTCGTATATTCGCTGCTGGTGAAGGATTCGTGGGTAGAGAGTGACATGCCTACGGTAACAGCCAAGCGATCAACTACAGATGAGCCGAGCCCCAGGACCTTCTTCAGACGAATTTTCAAATTTGTCCTTCGATGCCCAAGGAGCATGGGTGAATCGAAGGCGATTTTTTACAACGTTCCCACCGGAGAAATCTTCCAATTTTTGGTGAACTTGTACCTCACCCATGGATCTATCCATGTGCCAAGGAAGAAAAAAATGGACCGAAGCAATCCAAGGTCCCAGACTGCCAGAGGTCAAAAGTTCACAAGGTCGATCATTCAAGAAGAACTCAGGAAGATGAAGAAGCTTGGACGATCGACGAACATGGGCCTAGGCGCCTTTCGTCCTTCACCGATTTTTAATACTGTGTGTTTTGTATAAGTTCGTTAGTGTAATTGCTGGCAGAGGATGCCCAAAGTAAGGTGCAGAAAAAAAAAGTGAGATGCAGAGTAGTCGGACATCATCAGAATCAAAACAATGGGGGTCTGTTCACAGCAGTATGTGCTTTCAAATTATTCAAATAATTATGTAGGTCCGAGCCACGTTCGACCAGTCGCCATTTTATTTGCGTCAATTTTTTGTCCCCGCCAGTACGTACATTGGTATGGTAGCGCTGAAAACTGCGCAAACCCCCGTGCGCAGTGTGTTCGCTGATATCCGTACATGGGGCCATTATTCGGTGGAAGTATGACGTCACAGCTTCTTGACACCGCGTAGTTACTAGTTACTTGGCCAAGTGGTGAGAAACGAAAGTCGCGTCACCTGCACGGATCTTGTTTCCAGTGCAAGCAGCATGCAGTGAACACAGCTACAGCATCATTTTAACTGAGGAGCACGCGCGAGCGAGATTATTTATTTCAAATAATATTTGAAATAAATAATCGCGAAAACTACAAACTCGGCGACAAGTATCAGTATATCATACTGCTACTTATAGTTTGTACATGTAGTTTTCGCTTTGTAGAGAAGGAGAAGCGGTAGCTGATTTTTTTACTTGGCCACTGCTGTGCCTGTACTGTAGTTCGGCTTTACATGAAGTCGCTGGCCAAGAAGCAACGATGGGCGCCTCCGTTATTTCTATCGCAGCGATTGATGATTTTTTTTAGTTCTGAGACCAACCAACTCTGGACTCGTTTCCCTGTCCAGCGGCTGGCGAAAATCAGAACTCCTATCTTTCAGGTGCTGGTGAACACTCAGCAGGAAAACACTGCACGATGGCTTGAGAATGAAGGAGAAACTTCTTGAACGTGAAGTACTATTTGCGGCAAGAACTTGAAGGGCCATGTAAAACAAATTCTGAAATCGCGATCATGCACCAGCGCCTCCCCCCCCCCCCCCCCCCAAGGCCCCAGTCAAAGAAATGATGCCGTGACCATTGGAAACACGACAAGCGCAGGTGACGCGACTTTTTGTTTGTCACCACTTGGCCTTGTAACTAAGAGTTTTCAGGCAGCGTGACGTAGCCACTTTGACAGCCAAGGCTGCGGAAAAGTAACGACTTACGTTAGTTGCGAAATAGTTCGCGAAAATGAAGAAAGTAGCGAAAGTTGCGATTTCTTCTAAACAACGAAAAGTTGCGAAAAAGGTGGCGAGCATCTTTGGGAAAGGGCTAAATTAACGGGCCGGGGGCTAATGCATATTTTAAACGTCATGGCAGTCACCGGGCTGATGACAATTGACAAACACTTGTCATTCTGGACTCTGGAGCAATGGAGAAAGTCTGGAGAAACAAGGATTAATTAGAATCATCAGCAAAATGGGATAATGTACTAGAAGCAGGGGCATCAGGAAAGGAGTTGATGCACTGGTAAACGTGGTCGTTAAATGCTTACCAGTCCGTATGGGCAAAGTCCAGCCAAGTGTTTTGAGCAGAAGATATTTGGGCTTTGGAACCTGCTGATCGGTTGTGGCTGACATCGAAAACTACAGGACAGTGATCAGATACCGGTGGGAGGAGGGTGAGATGGGAGACTGCTATGGGAGCATTAGTGATAACTAGGTCGAGTAGTGATGACCTCTTACCACTTTCGGAGTAGCGGGTAGGCTGTTGATCCACAAGTTGCGATAATCCCAGATCATCCAGGATGTCATAAATGTATGTACCAGCAGGTGTATCAGGATCGGATAGTCGATACACAAACAGGCATTACAAACAGGCACGTATGCCTTCCTACATGTTCGCGACCATGATGATGAAGATACGAAAATTATCTCCAGCAGTGTGAGTATCGCTCACACTTTAACAAACTATGTGACATGGAAGACCTTGAAATGGTTGAAACTAATAGCTGCAGAACTCACTACACGATAGGCATTGGCGGATAATGCTCGAAAAGGTGCAGCAGATTCTACTCGAAAATCAGTGAAATTGGCAGAACCATACAAACCTTTTGGCGGGAAATTCCTCGAATTCTGCTCCATTTCTTTATCCACATACCGCTGCGCTCTCCGGCCTACCTCAACACATTGCCACAGCACACCATCAGCAAAACGACACTTCAGTTGGTACTCTGCTCCTTCAGACCGCAGCTGTTTCGATCATCAGGAGCTCGTCAGTGAAGGTTATTTATATATTTATTTATATATTTCTGCACCTCGTGGCACGTCAAGACAACCAATCATACACAGTGAACTGAGGAGAGGGTGAGACCAACCACGGGAGAAGAGAAAAAAGAAAATGAAGAGCACGTACACAAAGTGGGAAGGGATTAGCAACTAACAAAGCAATGGGATGCTCAGCGAGCTATGCAGCGGAAGTGGGGACTGTGACTTTGTTTACTGGGAAATACTGAAGTGCTGTCTGACGAGGGTAAGCAATTTGGGCATATCTGGAGCTTGTCTAACACTGGGAGGCAGTTGGAGCCACGTGGAGTAGGAAGAAAAGAAAGGGGAATTTACGAATAGGGTGGACCTAGCTAGGGGAGCCGAACGCAGCTTCGGGTGGTGGTGCCACCTGAATTGAACCAATTAAGGGAGTGTAAATTAACAGGGTGCTGGTCAAAAAAAATTGAATGTGCTAGGGTGCACTTGGAAGCATCAAGGTAGTGTTGCAGAGTGGTAGTGGATGCAGCAGCATACAAGTCTAGATTTGAGATATAAAGATCAGTACGAAATATGATGCGCAGTATACGGCGATGGAGAACTTCTAATTTACCTATGTGGGTTTTGATGGACCAGGCAGGGAAGCCGTACGTGAAGAGGGGAAGAATGTATGATTTATAAAAATTAATCCGGCAATTTTGGGGCAAATGGGACAAGTGACTTGACATTATGACGACAGATCGGCATACTTTGGACCACACATGATCAGCATGGTGAGACCAGCCAGGAGAGGGCGGAATCTATGACATTGCCAAGGTGTTTATGGTGGGGCGCTACAGAGATAGGGTGACCGTGATCATCGAGAAAGTGGAGGATAGACACTGGATCTGTGGGAGGGGGAAAAGGAGGAGCTCGTTGATAATGTAGAATGGCTAACAGATAGTGAACTTTACTCCTTTGTAGCAAAAAATAGGGAAAACAAAATGGCACATCTTAGTTCCAAAAAGGGGGGAAACATTATGGCGCATCTTAGGCGCGAAGATGAAGCCGCGAAGATTAAGGCTAAGCAAAGGCGGTGTGATGTGGCGGTTGATAAAAATCTGGACAAGGCCGAATGCTGCCCCTTACCCCTCTTGGTCATACTTAAAGGGGCACTCCGGCTTCATTTTCGACGCCGAGTTTTCGATGCCAAGACGAAGGTTGGTGAAAGAGAAGACCCCTCGAACAAGAACGAGTCTCCAGAAGCGATCGAGTCGAGCAGGAAGACGACTTTTGAATTTCGGCCGAGCGAGCGCTGATGACGTAATGAGGGATTAGCTTGCCAGTGGAAATGCATCTGCGCACATACATTTCACACACTTTTTGGCCAATTTTCAATCGAAGAGGAGGTTGTTTTCTATGTTCTCTCAACGTCGTGAGCGATCCCGTCTTCTATACCCTTCCAGGTACCCTGAAGGTCCTCCAGAGGAGAATTTATCTCCATCAAAGCGTTGTTGATCCGCTAAATTCGTCTCGAGACATATTCACCCAGTGCAGTGCTGACAAATGTAGAATGTTGAATCTGTGATATTTGTCGATGATGGACAGAAAGGTTGATAGCCGCTGTCGCAGGGAAAGTGAAGCTGCTGGAAGTAACAACGGGGAGCTTGTTAGCATCACTTGATCAAAGCAGCTAGACGGAATCGGGGAGTACTGACTATTTGTCTCGCCCTCAGTTTGGTGAATTTTATGATCAGAAAATTTTTCGATCAGCCCCTTCTACAAGATGTGTAGTACAGGTGATTTCTGAACTTGACGATATGGAGACCGACCAGTTGTCCTACCAACAACGTGTACCTGCAGGAAATTCACCCAAGGCTATTGCTAATGCTATCCTCTTCAGTGGCTGTTGTTTTTTTAGTAAAAATATGTTCACTTCTCTCAACATATTCCTGCATGGCAGCAAGAAGGTGCGCTGTGGAATTCAACGCCACAATCTTCGCCCAGCTGTGGATGAAGCATGGTCAAGTCATGGCAGTACATATACTTGAACCAGATGAGAAATTGAAGTTCATTTGTGATGCGAAGTTTGACAGCCCCAGTGACCGAGTCAAGCGTTGTCTTTTGCCGTGGCACAAATTGCTGAAGAATCCGAGATGTTCTTGGAATTATGCACATGGATACTACCAGAAATAATGGTGGCATGAACCATTGTGGAATGGGTCAGCTCACGGAGAATACTGGAATAGCTCAAGTATCTCTAGGCGATTGTAAATCCTGTTCTGGCTGATAGCTTCGGCCTGCTGCGCCCGTCCATGTACAATGATGGGAACATGCATTTCTGTTTTCTACATATTTGCTATCTACTGTACTGTGGTATTACAGTTGCAGGTCCCTTATATAGAAATATGTTCACCCCCCCCCCCCCCACATACCCACATAAATAGGAACTAACAATTTCACTGTTGGACTCGCCGGTGGCTAGAGAGCAAAGGATGAATTTATAGCAAAGAAAAGGACCAGGGAACTACAAGTTACGCTATGATGTCCACGAACTATTTCACTGTATTTGAAATAATTTTGTTTGATACCCTGAGAACTCTGAAACTTTGCAGCACTGTGGATTATATGTGGATACAACATTTATGGAAGGAACACATAGTTCAAATAGTTATAGCACTGGATTGTTGAGATTGTGAGCACACTCCAATCAGTACTCTACATATTTATAAGCGGTGGCAATCGTTAGGAATAGGTCGTGAGTTGTCAGAGTGCTCTAGTATATGAGAGAATGTTTTGTTTGTCTAATCGACGGCTCGTTTGAAGCCAGAGTTGTTTGAACTTGCTTCAGTCGACTTGATTCTAGACAGTAGTCGAAGGAGTACTATGAAGTATACACCAGGCGTAGTCTGTAAGCTATCTCGTGAGAATTCTGTCGGTACACATCAGGTATCAGCTTGCAAAGATGGCTCCTCTCTGTTTCTTGAATGTATAGTTGGACTGTGGCTCCAGCGATTCCCTTCTCAGAGCAGGTACCATACCCAATACGGTCAATGCATATTGGACAGACCTGTGTGCACAACAGAAATAGTGCAGAGAAATCTCTCAGCTCATGAACACATCAGTGAAGTTTGAACTGCCGTTGTTTGTGGCCATCAGTATAAACCTATCGACTATAAGAATAATGTGCAAAAAACCCTCTATAACTACAGCTGGGGCCATGGAATTATAAAGCATCTAACTTAGGGAACTGCCAATTCGGGTCGGAGTTGCGTTCGAGGCCTGCAATTCATGATGGCTATCGTATGTTGCATTGACCAGAGATCATATAAAACTTCCATGCCACATTGAAACACGCACTACTTTCGAGTACTTTGGTATCCCCCACCAAATGGGCATTCGTTCTCGGGGTGGCAGGCGTCACCATTCGTTATGCCTGGATCAGATTTCATTGACCCCAACTGTCATGAAGAATCATCTTTACTTCGACTGGATTTCAGTACAAGTTAGTTGTAGAACTGCAGAATAAATTTTGTTGTATTTGGGCAACCATTTCTCTACAAACGCTCTATTTGGAAAATAATTTTTTTAATAAAATACATGTCCAAATTCCACATCTACCCAAATCGGAATACTTGATCACGTATTCAGTCCTACACGGAATGTTTAGAAAACGCCAGGGAATAGGAATTTGCTAACGAGAACTCCAGGCCAGGGTACTAGCATACGAACAAAACAAGATAAAAACTCACCAGTATACTTGTAGTAATTCATGTCGGTGTAATATTCACGATAAGCAACGAGGCACCCTCCGATTTGGTCAAGCTGCTTTGAAGTCTGGTTGTTCAGGTGATACAAACGGGCTCCCTGTTGTTACTTCCAGCAGCTTCACTCTCCCTGCGACAGCGGCTATCAGCCTCTCTCTCCATCGTCGACAATTATCACAGATTCAACATTCTACATTTATCAGCACTGCACTGGGTGAATATGTCTCGAGACGAATTTAGCGGATCAACAACGCTTTGATGGAGATAAATTCTCCTCTGGAGGACCTTCAGGGTACCTGGAAGGGTATAGAAGACGGGATCGCTCACGGCGTTGGGAGAACATAGCAAACAACCTCTTCTTCGATTGAAAATTGGCCAAAAAGTGTGTGAAATGTATGTGCGCAGATGCATTTCCACTGGCAAGCTAATCCCTCATTACGTCATCAGCGCTCGCTCGGCCGAAATTCAAAAGTCGTCTTCCTGCTCGACTCGATCGCTTCTGGAGACTCGTTCTTGTTCGAGGGGTCTTCTCTTTCACCAACCTTCGTCTTGGCATCGAAAACTCGGCGTCGAAAATGAAGCCGGAGTGCCCCTTTAAATGCGCCAGTCAAGTAGCAGCCGATGGTGGAGACGAGGAGACTAATGAAGAACGACGGAAACTCGGCAGCGACATTAGAGAGGTTTTGCAGAGCGAACGTTCGCGCGAATTTTCGTTTGACGTCACGAAAAGCGAAACTTCGTGCGAACGTTCGCAGTTTTGAACGCGAAAGTTGCAGGAAACGCGAAACAAACTTTCGCAGTAATTTTCGCTCTTTGTGGCGCGGTGGTCAGCCTGGTGCACGGTGAGCGACCCTCAATCTTCATGTTTGTGCTGGATCTCTACTCTTGGCTTGGTCCGCGAGTGCTAGCTTTCCGATAGTTTTAGCAGCCCGTGTTGTTTCATCTCCAGAACCATCTCCGATCTCCTGCTTGCTCGTCTTCTCACTGCTCAGAATCGGTTACATCAATGATGTCTTTTTGAATCTCAGGTGTTGATGCGCAAGATTACGGCACAAGCCAACCCGGCCCGTTTGTCTGTGGGTCTCCGGCCATGGACAACGTAGTCAAAGAGCTCTCGTCTCAGGCCGTGACTCAGGGTACCTGGTGCGCGTGCCGCCACTCGCAACAAACAAATATCGGATGGAGAACGCTTCTCAAAAACAAGCGAGTGCACACGAAATTTTCTTGGAGCGAGAAACATGCAAACGTTCGCAGTAATGTTCGCTCTTTGTGGACTGTTCGTGCGCGGTGAGCCACCCTCAATCCTCATGTTTGTGCTTGATCTCTACTCTTGGCTTGGTCCGCGGGTGCTAGCTTTCCTATACTTGTGGCAGCCCGTGTTGCTTCACCTCCGGAACCATCCCCGATCTCCTGCCTGCTCGTCTTCTCACTGCTCAGAGCCGGTTACATCAACGATGCCTTTTTGAATTTCAGGTGTTGATGCGCCAGATTACGGCACAAGCCAACCCGTTTGTCTGTGAGTCTCCGGCCATGGACAAGGTAGTCAAAGAGCTCTCGTCTCAGGCCATGACTCAGTCAGGGTGCCGTCACTCGCAACAACAAAATAATCGGATGAAGACCACTTCTCAAACAAGCGAGTGCACGCGAAAATTCCTGGGAGCGAAAAACATGCAAAACACAAATTTCGCGCGAACGTTCGCAATAGTTTTCGCAACCCGGAACGCGAAAATCATTGCGAACGTTCGCTCTGCAAAACCTCTCTAATAAAGGAAGATTCGGAATGGCTGTGACGTTCTAATTTCAACTACAGGCGGATGTCAAACCATGGCGCAGTGTCAAGAGCGAATGCCTCATGGGCCTCGCGAATGATACTTTGTGAACATGTGCTTGTCACTTCGTCTCTTCATTGCTAAGCTGCGGCATTATCATGGCAACTGAAGAATGGCTGTGACGTGACAATGGTGTGGTGCTGTGCTGTGTGGTGAGTGAGTGGACGGAGTGAATGCCCCAGGGGCCTCTCGCGTTGCTTCATGCCCTATGCTGTGCCATCTATCGAAGTCACACCTGGCCATCACTAGATGACCGTACTCTAACTTACACACGTTATATTACTGGTATCCTCAGTGTAGTCTATCATTATCGCCTTTGCTTAGCCTTAATCTTCGCACCTAAGATGCGCCATAATGTTGCCCCCCTTTTTGCGCCTAAGATGTGCCATTATGTTTCCACCTTGTTTTTGGTACAAAAGAGTGAAGTTCACTATCTTTTATCCATTCTACATTATCAACCTTCACTGACGAGATCCTGATGATCGAAACAGCTGCTGTCTGAAGGAGCAGAGTACCAACTGAAGTGTCGTTTTGCTGATGGTGTGCTGTGGCAACGTGTTGAGGTC